TCATGCACAAGGCTAATTTATACATGAGGATATACAGTATTGTAGGTGAAATCTTGGCTTTTATTTACCTTCTTTTTCTTTTATTTGGAATTTAGATTCTATATGTCACTCTATGCTGCCATCTACATGCTCTGTTTACATTTCATAGAATCATAGAGTTGGAAGAGACCTCATGGGCCATCCAGTCCAATCTCCTTTGTTGGTTTATTCATTCAGTCGCTTCCGACTCTTCGTGGCCTCATGGACCAGCCTGCGCCAGAGCTTCCTGTCAGCTGTCACCATCCCCAGCTCCTTCAAGGTCAAGCCAGTTACTTCAAGGATACCATCCATCCATCTCACTCTTGGTCGGCCCATCTTCCCTTTTCTTTCGATTTTTCCCAGCATCATTATCTTCTTCAAGCTTTCCTATCTTCTCATTATTTGGCCAAAGTACTTCATCTTTGTCTCTAATATCCTTCCCTCCAGTAAACAGCAGGGCATTATTTCCTGGAGTGTGGACTGGTTGGATCTTCTTGCAGTCCAAGGCAATCTCAGAATTTTTCATAGGCAAATGTAGTATGTTGTTTGCCCTGCCATTTTGCGTGAGTCATTTCCTTGACCTTTAACTTTGGGGTGGGCTCAAGATGGTGGCAGTGGCTATACGACTATGATACTTTCAGGTTCAATCTTACTGTGATGTTCTTGGTGCAACAGAGAGGGTTCACGCTTTCAGTTTGTTGAGATGTTTTCCTTAGGCATAGCTCCAATATATGTAATTCAGTGGTGTGTATACTGTTGACTGATCTATCTTGGGTGAAGGTGGGCTTTATATTTTGTGCCTCCAGAACGGATGGGAGAGACTTAAACTAACTGGCCTCCAGGAAACTTCCAGATGTCTTTATTCTAGCCAACTAATGTCACCCATATAGTTGCTCCATACACTGGGTCACAGTGGTCAGTTTTATTGTGCATTAGTGTCAAAGGGCTTGGACTTTTTTTTATGTTGGAGCCAATTCATGTTAGTAGTCCACTCTAAATTACTTAGGAAGGCAGGTAGCCTACCCGAATATTAGCACAAATATTTACCTCTGGTCTTAATATATTTCAAGTTCTTGCCTCCTTCTGTTCCACATGACCTAAATCTGATTTTTCTGTATTATCATACAAACAGATATTTACTAATTCTCTCTCATATTCTTCTTGTCCCAATTGCACTTTTAATTGTTTACTTCCTGTGTACGTAGAACCACAGAGTCACCTGTCTGTTTTCCTCTGTCCTAATTTTTCTACTTTTTATCTCCATTGTTTCACCTTTTCATCTGGTCTCTGTAGTCTTCAATGCACTTTTGTTTATTTTGCAACTTACTACGGCTCCTCTGCTTGATTTGTCACATTCAGTGAATTATATGAAAGGGAATAAAGTACCCTGTGGCAAGGTACTTACATCCTTTTCTGTCATTCAGCTCATTAAAGCCAGCTAAGGAAAACATGGCAAGATGTGAGTTGAACAGGGCATTTAGAGTTTCAGGTGCTGATGACGGAGGGAAATGTATGAAAAGGAACCTCTTCAACTTCAACAGATTCGGAAAGAGACTGTTGTAATGGGAGGTATTCCCCATCCGCTGGCCGGGGGAGAATGGATGAATTATGTTATACAAGTGAATGCTCAGAAGCTGTGTGAATTTTGTTGAAGGGCTGATGGAAGTCATTGGCCACCAGTGATCGAGTACAGTTCTGGTGTGATTCCTTCGGTCATTAGTGTCTGGGAGGGCTTTCGCACAACTGAGACTCGTGCGCCAACTGTGACCATACCTCGCGAAGGCGGATCTGGCCGGAGTGGTCCATGCCTTGGTCACCTCCAGATTGGATTACTGCAATGCGCTCTACGTGGGGCTGCCCTTGAAGACGGCTCGGAAGCTCCAACTGGTCCAACGATCAGCAGCCAGGATGCTAACTAGGGCCCCTTACAGAGAGACGTCAACCCTCCTGTTCAAGGAACTCCACTGGCTGCCGTTTATATTCCGAGCCCAATTTAAGGTGCAGGTGCTTACCTACAAAGCCCTGAACGGTTTGGGACCATCCTATCTGCGTGACCGCATTGCCATCTACGAACCCACGCGTTCACTTCGGTCATCTGGAGAGGCCCTGCTCGTGATCCCACCGGCGTCACAAGCGCGCTTGGTGGGGACGCGGGACAGGGCCTTTTCCGTGGTGGCCCCCCAACCCTGGAACACCCTCCCCAAAGACCTTAGACAGGCCCCTTCATTGGCTGTCTTCAGAAAGAACTTGAAGACCTGGCTTTTCCGATGCACCTTCCCAGATTAGGAAATCTCCACTACCAAGTCCCATAAGCACTTTACCAGAACCAATGATTGTTGCACACCGCACATCGCACTTGCCCAGAAGCCCTTTATACACCTCCTGTCACATCAGCACTTTTAATCCTTGTACCCACCTTTTGGCCCGGCCCAGTTTTATTGTGTTTTAGTATATTGTGCCTGTTGCTTACTTTGCTTTATTCTGTTTTTAATTGTTTGATTTGCTTAGATTGTATTGTTATGTTGTGTTTTGAGGCCTCGGCCTGTGTAAGCCGCATCGAATCCTTCGGGAGATGCTAGCAGGGTACAAATAAAGTTTAATAATAATAATAATAATAATAATAATAATAATAATAATAATAATGTGTGAATAAGGCATTTTGTATCTCTTTAGACTGAGTTACCTTTAGATGAAAGAGGTAAATATTTCTTCTCATTCAAACAAAATAATTCACAAAGGCCAGTTCATATACATGTAGCAACTCTGTTTCAGGATAGGATGAACTTAAAAAGGTAAAGCACATGTTTATTTTCCCCATCATTTGTAAGGAGGAGAAATGAGATCTTTACTTCTTACAGAATGATACTCTTTTTCTTAAGATGAAGCATTTTCTGTATTTCTCACTCATTGCCCATCTGCCCTGAATTTCCTTTAGTTTTTTTTCCTTCTCCATCCCGTTTTCCCTTCTCAAATTCTTTCCTGGTGAATTCATTTATAAAGAATGACTGAAGGCAAGACTACTTATTTCTTAACTTTTTGTAATATCCCAGTTTTTTGAGCCTTGCTCAGACTTCATATTTTGGGTTTAAAAAGAAACCGTGTTTTGGGTTTAAAAAGAAACCGTGAATTAGAGATTTCTGGTGGAATTCTGAAAAATTAAAATTGCCTACCTTAATCTTCCTTTAGTATTGGTCTATGAATATCTTGTCATTGGCTTTGCAGTGCTGTGTAACAAAGTTGGTAAATATACAATGAGATTCCTATTCTTAACATGAAAAACCTTCCAAAAATTAAACCATATTAGGTGTTCTTAAAGCAAGTGCCTAAGTAAAATATCTGGGTAAGAGACAATGTGTGCATTGTATGTTTAAGGAGTCCAGAGCACCACATGGTCAGTAGTCTTTGCAAAAACCTTTTGAGGCCTCTTCCACACAGATAAAATCCCACATTTTCTGCTTTGAAATGGAATATATGGCAGTTGGACCCAATTCAAAGCAGATATTGTGGGATTTTCTGCCTTGATATTCTGGGTTATATGGCTGTGTGGAAGAGCTCTGTGTTGGGCCAGTATTCTCCTCCTCCTCCTCATGAGTTACAGATGTTGAGATAAAATCAAGAGATTTCTGGATCCTTTAAAGTGATCTGTTGCATTTTTGGATCAGATAAATCAGTACCTTTTGACTTGCACACTTAGTCAATTACATATCAGAACCTGTACTATAAATTCTATCTATGACTAAATAGGTAGTTAATTGAGATGTTTCCATGCTAGACCATTATGATCTTAGTTCCCACTGAAATGTTGAAAGAACAAAGCAAGGTACGGTTGTAAGGGACCAATCTTTTGGGAAACCATTTAATTGCAATTATGGTAAGACCCTCATATCTGCAGGGATACATTTCCAGCCAGATCATGATTATCTGAAATAGTGGATACCAATGAATGACATTAAACTACTTGACATCTAGTCCAAGGACATAGTAGAATTGCCCTGGAGAGTCTAGAAATTCTTAGAGGGACATTCTCTCTAGAAATTTGCTAGATCCTCCAGGGTAAGATTTGAGGGAGATATCCATAGAATTGCCCAGAAGACCTCATACATTTCCAGGGACCACTTTTCACCAGATGTGGGTAAATGAAACAAAGGATATGGGTTCCACACTTACGGATTACTGTATTGTTCGAATTGTATTTGTATTTGATTTTTCCCATCTCAGTCTTAAACCTTCAGTTATTTTACTGCCTGAAAATACAGAAATGTAAATACATCCTGTTTGGATGCCCAGAAGAGATCTGTGGGACAGAGCTGCAGATGGGAAGCTGGTTTAGCTTGGCTCATTTGGAGGGTGGCTTATGACAAATCACTGCCTTTCCTTGCAAAGCCAGAATCTGTTAGAGAAAATTATTATTATTATTTGTTTGTTTCATTTATATACCATTTTTCTCACCCCTGGGGGCAGGGGGACTCAAAGTGGTTCACAGCAAAGTAAATGGCAAATTCAATGCCCTACATAATATAAATACATCACATAACTAATATAGCATATAACAATAGATTAAAACCAGTAAACTATAAAACATAAAACATTGGACAAAACCAACATAAAACATAGAACTACATACAAACTACAATCATACAAACTACATAACCAGTTTAAGATTTTCATCCTTTTCTCTGTTCCAAACTTGTTTTTAAAACTTATAGTCAGAGAAGCAGCTCTGCTACATGCTCCTAACCCATTTTAGTAGCTGAGTACCTCACCTATAGAGTATATCGCCTGTTGCTACATGTGGCTTTCTTGTGACTTCTGCATGACTATTGCCACAACTGAAATAGTTTGCCATCTTTTTAACCTACTTCAAAACATTGTTATGAGTATAAGCAAAACCAAAATTACAGTGGCAATGATACATGGAAAATATTTGTTTTGAGACAGTTGTCGAGATATCAGATAATGTTCTATCATTTCTCTCTTTTTAGAAATCATTGATGATTTGGCCAATTTGGTAGAAAATACTGATGACAAGCTGCGCTGCCAAACCAGACGTGTGATGATGGTGGAGAAAAAGTCAACTTCCTGTGGTAAGACGTGGTTTGATTCAAAAGTAGACTTGCCTTTCTTTTCTGAAACGACTGCCATTTTATTCTAGTTCTTGGACTGAAGCTAAAATGTTTAAAATATTTTTAATCATGACTTTTGCATTAGAATTTTTACTTCTTTCCACAAATATTCCACTAATAACTGACAGTCTAACAATGTAGAAATGATGAACATAGCTTTTCCTTTTGTGAGAGAGAATAAAAAAAGAGAGGTAGGGAGCGGACGTCAAACTTAAGGCATTGTTGAATGGAAGGCGCACCCCCCCCCCTTTTTTTTAACAATTCAATTTTTTGGGAATTTTTCTCTGCATGCACAACATCTTTTTGTTTCAACTCAGTAATCATATTTCTTTTTTCCTAGTTCTATGGGCCATTGGGGGGGGGGGGAGCAAGAGGGGGCTTACATCAGCCAGATCAGCAAGCAGCCAGTTGGCTGAGGCTGATGATAAAATGATGGGAGCTGGCAGAGCCCTTAGGGCTTGAGCCCTCCCCATCCTCCTCCTCCTCCTCTTCTCCTCTCTCAGATGTAAAGCATTTTTGAGAAAGAAAAAGAAAAAGAAAAATCCCCAAAATGGAGTTGTAAGCCATCCCTTGTATTGTATAAATAACTTATATATCTGAGCAGTGATATCATGTGACATTCCAGAAGCAAATTGCAAATTGATTTTTAAGGAAATTATGTTAAACTGACTAAACTACTGTTACAGGAAGCAACATTTTATTTATTTCTTCATACTTCTGTCCATCTATATTTTAATTCCAGTTTTATGCCTGATGACAACACTTTAAAGATAGCTGGCAATAAATGAACATTAATACACAATAAATGTAATGTGTGTGCTAAAGAGATGGACCATAAATGTGTCAAAATCTCCCATTTCCTCCTACTCCACAAGATGGCATTTCGGCTCAGTAACCTTAGAACATCACCACTGGGAATAATGTCTTTTCAGGCTTTGTTTTTTTTTTTTAACTTTTATAGCCTTTTTGTGGAGGAAAATGTAGCTTTTGTTTTTCACTTTTGTCCATATTAATTTGTCTGAATGTTTCTATCAGCTATGATCAACGTGTATATGAGTGTGTTTACTATCACAGGAATGCTGATTTTGAAGGCACTCTCCTAATATTTCTTTATGAGTTTGTAGCACACTTATTTAAGCCAGATGACATTCTAAAATAATCCTCGAGAAAATAATGGCACACAGAGGATCTTGCCTTTTTCATCACACCTGGTACCTTGTTCATTCTCTTGATTTCCTTCCCCCCCCCCCCCCCCGAAAGTTAATTGTCTGCAAGCCGTCAGGTTTGTTCATCTAATGTAGATTATGTAGGTTTGGTTGAGTACGTCTCAAACACTTTTATTTTTAGCACAGTGGAGAGCTCAGCATCGTGTGACATGAAGTCAACCTTTCCCGTGGCCTGTTTGCCAGAGGATTATGCCAGTGTTCTTTCCTAATACTGCATGGACAATTGCTTTGGCTGTGAACCAAAAGATGATTTTTACCCCAAAAAACTTTTTTTCCTGGTTGATGACCTATTTCATGTTTTCTTTTCCATTTCTTTCCACATTCCCTGTGTCTGGCTGTCTACATATTCAGCATTATTTTCCATGATTTTGCTAGCATTTTGCTTGAGAGGAGGCAGATTTCTTATTCCATTAAGCCACCTTGAAGAATTCTGTGTGGTACTGCTCATTTTGATGAATTGGGGGGGGGGGGGGGGGGGAGTCACATTTGATGAATATATACGAGTAGTCATTTTCCATTGGAATATAAGGAGGATTATTTTTCTTTCTTGAGTACAAATGAAACTGAGGCCCAAAACTAGACATTACATTACTTGATTGACACTCTTGATTATGTATACTTTTGTTACATTTTTGTATTTTGGGTTATTTTCCCTGAAATGCAAGCCCAGGGGGCACAGATTCTGTCAGGACCATGAAAAGGTACCATTGCTTTTCCTTGCTCATGGAGTATGTGCATCTGGTGTAGGCAAAATCCACCCATCCAGTGGATGGTGAGGGATGCTGAGATTTGCAGTCTAATGATATCTTGAGGATTACAATATAGCAATTGCTATATAATTCCATAATGAAGTTCCCATTGATTGATTTTATTAATGTAATGTCATGTTTTATTTAGTAATGAGACAAAGAAGTTGGATATGTGATAGAGCTGAGACATTATAACAACTGAGTTGCCATTTAATTCAGACCTCAGGATTGATCATTACCTCATACCTACCAAATTGTTTTCTACTTTCTCTGGTCTACAGCTTCTGTAACATGTTAATACTTTTCAGTATTAGCAAGAGTATCCCTCTGGGCAGATAAACCAGGAAATCCCAATTGGATGACGCCCTGAGGGTCTGCCTCTAGGGGTAAACCAAGAATGGGCAACTTGGAAATCCCTGAACAGACTCAGAAGTGGAATGGGCAGATCGAAAGACAACCTGGCAAAATGGCACTACCTAAATGAGTCCTCCACCTTGTGTGACTGTGGATCAGAACAGACAGCTTCACATCTGTACACTTGTCCTGCTTCATGTACAGAGGAAGAATTGTTTGAGGCTACAGGCAATGCGGTCACTGTTGCCTGTTTTTGGTCAAAATATATTTAGCTGCTTGTGCTCCTTCTATTTTTATCAGTTTTTATATTAATTTGTGCAATGTTTTTGATATGAAATAGATAAATAAATTTTTCAGGGTTCAGACAATTCTGCCCAATATATTATAAGTAATAGATTTGAAGTAGCAGCAAATAATCCCAGGATATTAGCAGTTTTTTCTTCTACGTATATAGCTGTGGAGAGCATCAAATATATTACTATAAGTATGTGGTCAAACTGTCACACACTCTGTGTTGTCTCTTTATTTTGCTCTCTTCTTTTATTAGAAGAGAGGAAGATTACTTTACTTGCCAGAGTCACATAAGCAGCCTGTGGCCCAGCTATCATCCAACGTGTATCTATGGAATTCTATCCCAAGGCTTTAATCATAGAATAACCTTTTTATCATTTGGCAGAAACTCATCACAAAAGCCTTCAGGATGAAAGAAAAGCTTCCACAGCCTTCCCTAAGCCAGATAGAAAAGTCCAATTCCCAATTAATATTTTTTCATCCTGTTTCCCAAAAAGGACAAATCAAATTCAAAGTTAAACATCAAGAATTTACAGTAGCATTTGGGTACAGACTCCCTTTATTTAAAAAATCCTAGAGGTTTAGCCTCTGAAGTAAGGAAAGGTAGTGCATTCTCTTACCCCCTCCCTCTGGAGATGGGTGCCTAGGAGCGCTGGGTGATCGGGAAAGGTCAGCAACACCTAGTTAATTACATTTGCATATGCAGCTGATCAAATAGAGGCCTGCTAGTCGCTGCTCTCACCTGGAGAGGGCCATGTGCAGCTGCTGCTAGGCTTGGAGCCTGGCTCTGCCATTGGAGGGCTGCCACAAGAGCCCTCGACACCCCCATTGCGATCTATCGTTTCAAAGGCCAAGTAATTAGTTATATTTGAATACAAAGAGGAGAAACCTGGCATTGTGTGAAATATCCAGGGACAGCTGCTTAGAGTTTGGTTTCCAAGGCTACATGTCAAGGATCACTGCTTGATATTTCTGGAAAACAGTGCTGAAATGCGGTAATTGAAATTTGATGTCTGCCTTTTATTTCCTAGCATGGCCCATACATTGTGGGGGTTTGTATTGCACTTTTAAACTATTTGTTCAAAAGTTACATTTTCAGAAATGTGGTCAAATACAACGATCCCTTGAACTGAAGTTTTGCTGAGATGGTAGCATATTTTTCATCAGCTTGTAGGAGTTGGATGGAAATCAAACAGCACCTTTGCTCTTCTCCATCTGGTTGTGTCTGTGAATGGGGAAAAAGACTTTGCTAGAAAGTTAACTACCAGTATTTCAAAAATAGATGCTGGGCAACAGGAAGACTATGTGTAGACCTCAAAGCGAATTGAAATAATGTGTATATCCAGTAGAACCTTCTCATTGTAACAACAGTCTTAAGATACTGAGAGGTCTCTACAGGGACCCTCTAAGACTTCCATTGCATGCCGTTCCTAAAGGTGAGGGCAATTGTGTTTGACTTATTGTCTATATAAGTGTGATACTTCAAACATTCAACATGCCAATGGAAAAATGCTGTATATTCACCCTGTTCTCTGTGAGATTTTCAAACTTATTTACAAATCTTATAATGACAGAATTTGACTTGTAGCCAGCAGAGCCAACTTATTTTGTTGTCCCAGAATGTGACTCTCGTGTTGCATTTTGTCATGCCTAATTGAATATGAGAATGAAACCTTCACATCTCCTTCCAGGGTGTGCTTGGGGCATATTGTATGCCTCTCTGGTATCTTTTGCTGCCCAGCACCAAAATAAACTAATTAATTTTTCCAGATTATTTTGCATAAATGCTCTATAAGCCCTTTTCAGCATCCCTATGCAGTGGGATTGTTGTCATTTGTAATTGTTTTTCACTTTTCTATCAATTTGCACAATTCTTAGTTACATAGCTGATATGAAGGGCATGCATGTGCACAATTCAAGTACTTGTAGCATTCAGTGTTTGTTTTTTTTTACAAAGTAATTATTTCAGTTACTTTTGAAAACCATTGTAGTGAAGACTACAATTCCAACTATGTAATGGTAAATATTTTACAGTCATGGAACAAACCTTACATTTAAAAAAGTAAACTTCCAGGCTTTGTTTGTGGTCTGAATCTCAAGAAAGTTGAGGCTCAGTCATATGACCCTCTGTGCAGTCAATCATTCAGTGCATAGGGGCTGTCTGTGGTTGGACAGGGGTTGGTTGGGATGTAGCTTTGCCATGCTTTTTCATCCTTCCCAACCATTCAGGTATGATGTCTTTGGTCATTTTAAAATAAAGAGAATGAGAGATTAAGAGAAAGCATTTGGAGCTTGGCCATTCTCACTTTTCCTTTTTTTTGTTTTGTTTTGTTTTGGGTTTTTTGGGCTTTTAGGTAGATTTGTGTGCTCATGAGAAAAGATAGAATAAATATCCATCAGTTTCGGTCAAATAGCAGTAATTGCAAACAAATCTGATATTGGCTCTAGAATTTCAGATTCTGTCACATTCTTCACCTTGAAAGGAGTCTTGACATGTGAAATGAGGGGCATGCTTGCTTTACTTCTATGTCCAGTTCTGTAGCTCTACTCACAGGAGAGCAGCAAGTTTGAAAAACATTCCCTGTCCAGTTGGGAATTCAGATTGGTTTTTTAGGATGTCCAATTGTATGGAGAGCCCCACATGTCAAAGAGACTCTCCTCTTTAGACTCCTGATCTTCATGTGAGGAGAGCAACAGAGACATTGGTGAAGAGTAGTATGTTTGTGAATTAGTGATGTCTCCCATAGCCAATCATATTTAGGAGAAGGAGCATCTATCAGCTGGGCATCTGTTATATCACATCACAGTATAAAATACTTGACAAACCCAAATGAATTAGATGTGATCATGACCAGAGGATACTATGCTTTTGAATAGATTACATAAAAATGGTTCCTAGGCCACCCAGAAATGACAAGTTGGATATGTGACTCTTCTCCAGTTATTATTTCCCTATAACAATTTTAATCGCACCTGATTTCAACATTTGTGTTTTCACGGATTCCATTTAAAACATATCTCAAACTTCAGTCTGCCCTACATTTTGTTTTCATTTTCAAGAGTTTTCTTTCTTTCTTTACTTTTAATTGATTCCCATCATAAAGCAGGAGTGACTCCTTTAGAATAGGTTTATTTACCTAATAAACTGGCTCTTGTGTTATCTAGGAAATGCTCACATTTTTGAAAGAGGAACTCCTAGTAACAGGCAAACAAAGATCCAGCAGTTAGGTCAGCTAATATTGCCCTCGGTCTCTTTCCCGGTGGCCATGACAGCAGGGAGGGTTTGTTTGAAGATCCCAGACTCAGAGTCATTACTTGCATTGTTACCCATCTGAGCATTTGTGTCCCTGCCAACAGTTTAGGATATTAATGTATTCCACAGATCAGGGGGAAAGGAATTCCTCTGCATGTCTTTTTGTTTTGTTTTCTCTAATTTCCCCCGCTTTTCTCTTTTCTCCTCATATACTTTGTTTGCTGTGCCTTCGTCTGGTGGATGTTGCTGAGCATTTCTGATGAGAAAGTAAAGAATTACAGAGAGGAAAGGAAGAGGTGTGTGTTAACATTTTAAAAATGTTAGGTGATGGGTTTGAAGGGGTTTTTTTTACAAGCTAGTCAGGTGCATAGACATTCATATTCTTTTTAGGATTATGAGTGCAAATATACAGTAGAAGGTTCCATTTCTAACATGTAGGTCTCATTGATTTGCTTCCTGGAGCCAGAGAGTACTTTCAAGAAAAATTAAAGAGTGCTGCTCCCCAGGACGCCATGCTTCAGTGATTCTTTAGTATTCATCCTTGCTTCATTACCACAGCCACCTCTCAGCCCACCCTGCACAGTTACAAAAAGGGGCAAAATTACAGCAATTCATATGAGGATGACTTACTGCCAGAGAATAATTGGTTTCTTCTTTTCAAAGAACGTTATCGCAGCAAAGCTTGGAAAATGAAAATTGTGTGTGTGTGTGTTATAAGATGGGGTGTTCAATGGAATGTACTTCAAAATTTTCACAGTGTTTGTCAAAGGCAGTTCATTGGAAAGAAAAGTTTTTCTGTTATTGTTTTTTAATGAAGAGATAATGATCTTATAAAGAAATAGGTCAGGGAAAGGAATCTGAGCAAGTTTCTTAAGCATGTCTATGTATTCTGCTTCCCTAGCAGGAATTGTACTTAATACTTAGATTTTCTTAATATATTCTTTGATCACTCATGGAAATGTTAATGAGACAAAATGGGCTAAAGAGCTCTCCAGACAGTGCCTGGAGAGGGAGGAATAAAATGCAGACCCTCAGGAGGGCTTCTAACGCACAAGACATTCCTTTGTTTCCTGTTTTACAAACCAGAGACATGTCTAAAATCTGCAACAAAATGAGAGCAGGCTGAAGAGGGACTATGGAAGACTAGGCTTTTCTATATTTTTAAAAAGGAAAAAAAGTTTGTTGCTGGCTGTGAATGCCCTGGCCTACTTGTTGGGGAGTGTTATGGGGGCGTTTGAAGTCCAAAAGGAGGGTCCTCTGAAGATGTGAGCAGGGTGCAGTTAGGCTGTCTTTCACTTGGGCTTAATTAAGAACCTGGCAAGCTTTGTCTCTTGGGGAGGCAGTTTTGTGAATAGGGTGCTCTGGCCCCTAAATTGTACATACAGGCTTGCTGCCTTTGTATTGGGTTGCCAAACTGAAGACAGTAGCAAGTGCAGGCTCCATGTTGCTGGAGGTCATCTGCCTGTTTAGAGGAGTAAGCCCACACCCCAAGAGAAAGAGAGCATAGTCAGAGGGAGTCTTTCATCGGGACTGGGGAATAACCAACCTTTATGTCCATGTGTGTATAAATGTAAACAAAAAGCCAGTGGGAGGTAAAAGAGGTTTTGTAACACTTTCCACCGGATGATTCTGTTGTCTTAATGAAGGGTCAGAGGGTAAACCACAGAGGGCAAACACTTTTCCTCAAGGAATCAGTCCTCTGGGTCCCAGTTTTCTGAATGGGAAAATATCCTAAATTTCATATTCAGATAGTAGTTATTACAAATGCTTTCTTTATGTTGAGACTATTTGGTGTTAAATTTTGCTGTCTCCTTTGTGTAGCATTTTAGGACATAATTGTAATGAAAGGTAGTTGCCGTGGTTTGGGTTTCTCAGAGGAGAGAAGTGCAGTTCTGAGAGTGCTCCTGAAAGCTTTCTACGGAAACCATTAATGAGCTGGAGATTTTGAGGGTACGGGTGGACCTCCAGTCTGCCACAAAGCTACACCCTTGGTTAAGGTGCTGGAAAAGTTATAAGTGAAGTTTCTGTGTTATTCAGCACATATGGGCCCAGGTAGTCAGAACTATCCTTAAGTGACAGAATCCATGAAGAAATGTCTTGGCTAGGCAGCCTAAGGATTTGGGTAGTGATGAACATGGCCAGATGAGGAGGGTGCTGACACCATCTTCATCTGTTGCAAATATAAGAGAATAAAACAAATAAAACTTGTTCTGTTTTCTTAAATTACCATTTCTTAACAAAAGGTAACTACCTTTTGTCCACAGTCATACTTTCCTGGGTCAGATTTTTCTAAATCTATTTTATTGTGACTTTGGCCAGAGACCCTTGGCTGATTGAGGCAAATGCTCTTAGTTTATAAAACAGTAATAGCTGATTCTTGATAGCTTTAAAATTGAACACCTTTCTGAATCATCTTGATTTGGAATACAGTTATGACCCCTGTAGCTACAAGGGATGTGTTCCTGAACTTATCGTAGCAACATGAAACCACAGATAATAGTGAGTGCTATTGAAATGAATTACTTCTGCCAAAAGCATACCATACAATCACCTAGGAGACCTAACAAATTCTTAGAGATCATATTTCATTGGCTGCAGGTTAGCAAAACCTAAAGCACCAATCCTGCTGCTATGGGGGTCATACTGTAATTTTAGATTGCAGTGGGGAAAGTGCAGCCTAAAAGTCTCAACCAGCTCCAATCCTGCCTTTGAGTCCCTCCAGCATCCCCTTCCACCATGTATGAGCATGCCTGACTCACCTACAAAGGGCTGAAGTGGGCCAAATATACTGGAAACTCTAACTAGAAATAAACTTTTGATCTCCTTCAGGTTCTATTTTCAGCTTACTTGGTGCAAAATGCAATGTTGCTTTCTAGAACAGTTTTTTTAAAAAGGTCTCTGGCACAATTGTCCACCATTGTTTTAGATCATGCTGATTTGAGGTGATTTGTGATGACTCAGTTCACCTTTCTTTTTTGACTGGTACCAAAGAGCAGTGCTAGGCAACAAATTATATGCACTATTTCAGTTGTGCTTATACCTGAACAGGGACCTTATACACTTGCTATGTTTTCCTGGAGTATCAGGACTATGAAAGAGAGAGGCAGCAGCATCAATCATTTTCTGGTAATCTAAGCTCTCAGTAATGCTAATTTGCTCTGTGTGGGATTCTTTTGAACATGTCAGGAAGCTCTCAGCAGATCAGTGTCTTGTATGATGAGAACCTGGAGGCTATATGCCTTTTAAAACATTTAGAAGTTACAGTGAAGACTTGGTTGTTTTCAAGTGCAGTTAATAGTTCTGCTTGCTATTCATAAAGACCTGCATGATTAAGCTATTGTTAAGATCTTGAAGGGGAGGACTTGTTCCAGGCATTTTGCTTTTTATAAAGGAAAGGAGGTATTTAGCGGAGGTGCTTCTGTTGTGGATTTTTGCTCAATTATTACAGTGTTTTAAAAAAGAACACTGGGGGAAGTTTCTAAATTTATTCTTCTTATTTGATTTGCAGTTGCCCATGGTTCTCCTTACTGGTCCCTGCGTGCACATAAAAGAAGTGATAATCTTTATACTCAATAATGAAATCAGATATAATATAGTCTAGAATAAATTTCCATATGCAGATCATTGGATTAAGCAGAGACACTCATTAATGGATCCTGATTTGGATTTAACTATAACATATGTTCATGACAGGGATTCAGAAATGGAACTTGCTGTCTGGCAATTGTCCCTAAAGCCATATTTTGAAGAGCTTATAGGATTTGTTCAGGAGGGGCCTTTTATCCAAGGAAGACCCTTCTGGTATGAAATCCAGATGGCTGCTCAAGCAAAATCCCTGATTTTTTGGAGGTTGCTAAATTTTTACTGAATTCACAGGGGAATCCTTTTATTCTTGTCTCAGTTAATAGGAATAGATTGAAGATGTCCGATGTGTAGTTATCTTACACGCTTATCTTGTCAATGTTTTTTCTCCCAGCTTCCTTGTCTTCCTGTTCTGGCCCATCTACACTGCCATATAATCCAAATTATCAAAGCAGAAAATCCACATGGTCTGCTTTGAACTGGATTATATGAGTCTGCACTGCTATATAATCCTGGCTGAATCAGATAATCTGGAATTTATATGGTGGTGTAGAAGAGGCCTCTGTCTCTCAGGGATGAAAGTTGCTCTCCAGAATTGGACCACTCCACACAGTCCCTGTTGCCTTCCACTCCCTATCATGAGCACCATAGTATCTCCTATACTGTAAATCTCCAGTCCTAACCGTTTTCCTTTGCCAAGAATAATTGCCTATATCTCATTGTACTTGAATCTCTTCCCTTCTTAAGATTGGTGGTCCAACATCTCATTCCACATTTATAGTTGCAAAAAAAAAAACAAAAAAAAAAAACCTGGGGCAAATTGTTGTGTCGAGATCATATTTCCTTGTCTGCAAAATGGGAAGAGTAATAGCTGAGAATCTGGATTGTAGTGAACAAGAGATTGTCTTTGAAATAATGCAACATAAAAATGATTTGCACTTATCTGACTTTTAAAAAATGAAACTATGTAATAATCCTTCTTTAAACATTGTGTGTTTCCTTTTGTTATTTGGTCAGGCAAGCCTACCCTTGGTGACTCACTTGAGTGATTGTCCTGAGCAGCCAAGGCAAAGCAATGGTTTGCAAAGAAGTACTGAAGAAGTTGCCAGGGTTAGTTGTTTAGATTTCCCCTCAGTGCCTTTATCTAGGCACTTTCCGCTCATATCTGCTTTCTCATGGATAAAATGTTTTTGCTTTTATTGAGGCCTTTTCCTGTAAAACAGTTTCTGGTAAATAACACAATAGTGGTAGGCGTATTTTCATGTAAGTGTCTCAGATTTCTGCTTTTTGGAGGGAATCTTACAGGATGTATCAGTTATCCAAATACAGGGGAAATCTTATAAAACAGCGCACCAGCAACGGAATTGTTTGAATGTGTGTGAGTGTAAGGAAGATGCCTACATTTAGTTGGATGGGCCCTCTTCTCTATATTTTCTCTGTTACAAATTTTGCCCACCAGGGTTACAAGCCAGTAATTTTCCTGAGGTGGCTGAAAATTACAAAAGTGAGGGGAGGGCCCATTACTACAACTCCCAGAAATCCCATTACTGCAAAACTGTAACTACAAAATACATGTCAAAAGTAAAGTGTGAGGAACAGAGGAATAAAGCCTTACAAACCTGCCCATGTTTAGAAATCTGCAAGGGACTGACACCCCTTTGACACCCTATTGAGAACTTAATATATCAAGCCTTTGTTTCTAGACAATGTGTTGGATTTTTATTTGTTACTATTGTTGTAGTGTTTTTAAAATGGTTTATATTTAACTAGTTTTATTTTTAATCACTTTTAGCTTTTGTAATTTCTGTATTTTTAATTATGTGTTTTTTATCCATTGTAAACCACTTTGAGTTTCACACTGGGGAAAAGGCCAGATATATGTACGTGCATAAATAAAACACATCTAACATGATAAAACACATCTAACTGGTTCCTAGCACTCAGAAGTTTAGTTTATAAAAAAGTTTCCTAGCCACTCTAATATTGCAGATCCTGGAGAGTGTATCCCTGCCACAGAAAAGCTCATTTTCTAGTGGCTGGCAATATTAATTCCAATGACACTCAAAGTCAGACAACAGATTCTTTTAACAGGGAAGGATCTGTGAAGGAGGAGGCAGCCATCCTTTGAATAACATGATGTTACAGGAAACAAGAAATGGATATCAAACTTTGGACCCTGTGCTACTCACAGATGAACACAATTTGTATAAGAATGGAATTTCCTTTTGGTTTTGAAGGTTAGAAATTTGTTGACTGCCACTGGGGTAAATTCAGTGTTTTGATTTCGATAATGATGCAGCAACCACATTATAGAAAAAGCTTTTGGATTTGCCATTGGCTGGCCCTGAAACATTCTTATGTTAAGATTTAAACTCATGTCTCTTTACACTTGCCTTGCCATTGGTGGAGGAATATTGGAAGCTTCTGTAAAGGTTCTTGATTGCAGATTATCCAAATGCAGTTGATGAATGTTCAGTGTCAGAAGCAGAGGATTTGGAGTATGCATTTCCCAGGGTCTAATAATCTCATAGGGCAGCTGAGTGTGACTCCTTCCCCAATAATCTACTTAACTCAGAAGTTTTGCCCTCCTCTTGCCTTGAAAGGAAAATGAGCCTCGTAGCCTGTTTGCATGATAAGTAGCTCCAGACTCCATGAGGCTTTGAAGGGGAAGCTGGGAGTTAATTGGGACAGCTTCAGCTAATGGTTTCCCATGTTCATTGGTGGGTTAAGTGAAGGAGAGAGTTTGAAAAGCACCCTTCATGGATCTGTAGCAATCGGTTTCACTGTGGATTCAGAAAGCCAAAACAATAAACGTTCTTGGGCAGGTCAGTGACATACCAAACTTGATGCTACTCAGATCAATAAAATGTCTTGATAACATTAAGCTTTTCTTCTACTCTTCTTTTCTTTCCCAAGGAGCTCAAAATAATGTATTTGGGAATAAGGTGGGCTAAAAATCAAATACATAAATAATCTACCTGGTGAACATTAAGGTTGTCTCAGAAGGCTTCTGTGGCTGAGCAGGATTCGGTCCCTGGTCTCCCTGAGTCCTGATCACATCTCACTGGGTCTTGAAGATTAGGCTAAGGGGTTGTGATTTATCTATAGTCAATTTGTGTTTCATAGAAAGATTAGGATTTGAACCCTGATCTCCACTGTTCTAGTCCACTGTAGCTAATCTGAAACACAAATTGAATGAATGGCATTAGAGCAAGATCTCTTAACCAGACTCCCTTAGGGTTCTGAGAGGGGTGACTCAAAGCACCATGAGAGAATTTTTTTAAAAAAACTTTCTTTTTAAAGCGTTTTATGCACGGATCCCTTGAGATATGATCATTTTCCCAAGGGTTCCTCCAGGCTAAAAAGCTTGAGAAAGGCTTTAGAATGAGAGTGGTCATTGTTCTACATTATTATTATTATTATTATTATTATTATTATTATTATTATTATTATTATTTCAGGTAAACCAATTCAAGATAGTCTGCTGTGGTGTGAAACATGAACGTGAAGAAATTGTGTCAGTAGACTTGTAACAGCTGTTACAGCCTGTTAGCAAATAGAAATGAAAATTTGGAGGCATAAATGGATGACGTAAACAAATTGGTCTTGGTGCTTTAATTCTATCACATTTATTGTAATAAAACTGCAGTGTGCTGTGTTGGGGTCCCAGGTGCCTGCTAAATGGATTGATATGCAAATGTTGCATATCAGTTTGTATACATTTGGGCCCGTGAGTGCTCAGCTTAAGAGTGGAGTGGTAACTGGTGGCAGGTGTAGGAGGCCAGCGGATGGACATTTGGCAGTGTGTGTTGAAGGCAGCCTATCAGAAGGTGTGAGTGTGGCTTGACTTTAACACGTTGGCCACACATTCATGGTTCCCCTTTAGGACGGCAGCTACATGAAATAGAGTAGTGTATATTTTATTTTAATTGCACTGAAGTCACATAGTTGTAAAATGAGTCAGAGAGGTGTGAGATTGTGGTGTATTTAGGTTGCGAAGTGGGAGAAGAATAGAGGTTATCCACTTCTTCCTTTATGGAATAAAAACCAAATAACCAAGGCCTCTTAATCCAATTAAAACTTAATAAAGATAAGGTGCGAGCTCATTTTGGCTAGATAGAATTCCATGGCTCTTGGAACCAACTTGGCATGGCTAGCACATTTTTCCACCCTGATGAAATGAAAAGCAGTAGAATGCTTTTTGAAACAAATCAGTCTGGATACCCCAGGAAAAGCTACACTTACTTGCTCTGGAAAAATTGCATCCCAGTCTGTTTGGTTCTTGTTGAAAGGGAAATGAACACTTGGCAAGCAGGGATGACTGCCGCTCTGTCTCTCCTGCATGAGCCATGTGTTGTTGCGATGGCTTTGCGCTCTGATTTGAAATGCAGAGGGAAGCAAGGGGAGATGTTTTAATCGGAGCGAAAAGGAGGAGCATATTAGGCTTTATAGGATTCATGAAGAGGAATATTCTAAATTAGATAGTAATACAGGGAACGCTTAGATACAGGTTCTTTCCTTCAGCACAACTTTTTGTTCTTTAACCAAGTAAAAGCCAGATTTTTATTGTCACAGGCTTTCATAGCTGGAATCACTGGGTTCTTGTAGGTTTTTCGGTCTATATGGTCATGTTCTAGAAGCATTCTCTCCTGACCTTACAACCTCTGAGGATGCCTGCCACAGATGCAGAAGAAATGTCAGGAGAGAATGCTTCTAGAACATGGCCATATAGCCTGAAAAACCTACAGCAACCCACAGATTTTTATTTGCTGTGTGCCTTCAAGTCATTTCCAACTCATAGCAACCCTAAGCAGAATTAATATTTAATATCAATACTGGTTTCCCCAGTGGATGTGCACTTTGGCTCATCATACAAGTGTCTGTTCATACATCTGTTGGTACATGAAGGCATATACACATGAAGGCATACACATGTCACATACATATGAGCCACCTGCTTCAGGAATCTTCCTACTATTAACTACAACACCATAAATGAATTGAGGACCTTCTGAATCATGGAAGTTGGAAACATGTTGGATTTTGGCTATAGTTAGTATTTGTAAGCTGCTATGTTTCTAACTGCCCACATAACAGTTGTCATATGTGTGTTTGCCTTTAGTTTTAACTATAGCCAGCAGTTAGTGTCATAACTGTGTTGGAAGTAATGTCAGGGGAAAGACAGCATATTAAATAAATAAGCCAAATTGGGAGGCTGGGGTGTCACTACAGGCATAATTCAGTTAATAAAGTCTCTGACATATAAATCCCTTTTTACAAGGTCTTTTTAAGCATGCCCAGCCCACTCTCCCTCCGTTATCCTTGTTTTCTGCCTGTGAAGGTGTTTTAGCAGTATTGGAAGGATGAGAAAATTGGGCAGAGGAAATACACACTGCAATAAAACTTGTTTTGGGCAAGAATGGGATTTTGATGGAGCCAGTCCTACCATCACTTGTGTGTATGCCTATAGCAGGCAAGGTAAACAGCAGGCAAACCTGCCTCACAAGTTCCCTCCATCATGTTTTAAAAGCATAGCCCTATATATATTTGACACTCAAAATGGAAAGCATAAAAAGAGCAAGGTTGAGAAAAAATAATTTCTAGACCTGCCTTCCACAAGTCAATAAAAGGCTCAAAAGGTTTTTGTTTTCTTGTGGAAGGTTGTTCCATTTCATATGCAGGATAAAAAGTTTGCTGAAATGTGTTAAACTGGGGTGTTGTTTTTTTGTTTTGTTTTTGTGGTGAAGAACTCACCCTTATTCTTTCTATATTATTTTGGCCTCTGATACTAAATTTTCTGATAAAGAAGTAATGCCTGGAACACATCTCTTTTGTTTAATGAGGAATACCTGTAATGACCTTTTCTTCCCTTTCCCATGTCCTTATTTGAAAAGAAAATATACCGTTTGAGGGTTTTTTCCATGCTTAAATTCTCAAAAGGAGATTTATGACAGCAGTGGGGTGAAGAGTTTTTCATTTATGATATCAGGATGCTGATGGAAATAGAGAATATGAGCTTGGGGACTGAGGAGCCCATGCTGAAATGTTTATTGCTGTCTTTGAAATGCTCCTTATTAGGCAGAAGATGTGTCTTAGTAAATGGGAACAGAGCTGCACCAGTCCTGGGGATATGTTTAGTACTCCAGTAACACAGAGTACATTAAAAAGAAATCATACCCATTGTCATATTGTAATCAAGAATGTAAAAGCGTTCCCGAGATCGCAAAGCCCATAAGGATCTCATATTTTTAAGACATCCTCCTACTTTGCTATAGGCTTTCTTATATTAACTATTGACAAACAAAAAACAGCCAATGCAATTTCTCCCAAAGCACTTTTCTTATGCTGCAATGATATAATAACTAGCTATTTCTTTGTATATACTTCTTTAGAAACCTTGTTCTTGTGTTGCATATAAAGATGACCAATATTTCTCAAGCAAATTTAGTTAGTTGTATAGTGTGTATTGTAAGCATTACAATTGGCTGTGGCCAACTCCAGGAACCCCTGGGAATAGATGAGTTGCTGAATGCACAATTGGAGGTGCTAGTAGGCGCAAGACACACTGTTTCCATTTATACATTGCTGTGGCTTAAAAAAGACGTCACAAAACATGATGCCTGCACAAAGACATGAAATCGAACTTCTAGTTGAATGCTTGATAGCAATGGTTCTCAGCCTTCTTAATGCCGTGACCCCTTAATACAGTTCCTCATGTTTCCATTATCCACATAAATTTGGCCTCCTGCATCCAGGTAATTGTGAGATACCAACTGCTATTGCTGGCAGATAGAGTGATGCTTCAACTCCCACCGCTACTTGTTCAGTGTCCAGATACTGATACTTCTGCATTTTTAGCTGCAGCCAAGGAATACTTAGTTACAACAAAAAATAGAGAGCAAGGGCTCCCTGAAATGCAAAAGGCAAAAGGTCTCTAAGACCAAACATTCAACGTATGGAAACAACGTATTCAACGTATGGAATCTAGTGTAAGTTATACAGCATGCAGTTCTCTAAAAAATTTATTTATCTTATATGGTATAAACAACGAACTCTTACAGCAAGATTTACAGCTGTTTTAAGGTTCTTCTGAACATAAATTTGTCAATAACAACACATAGTTTGTGAATCCTTTTTAAAGTCTCTTAATCCAGAGTTTCTTGATTTAAGTAAAGTTTGTCCACAGCAACACACAGTTCATAGTCCTTTTTTTTCTCAAAATCACAGTTTGTCAAGCACAGGTTATTTGTCCTCTTTCAAAATCCTTTTTCAAAATCACAGTTCGCCAACCACAACCAGTTTCGACTATACACAGTCTTCTTCAGGTGGTAGTAATAAGGTTTTTTTTAAGTGATGAGGACCTAAAGGGAACACATTAAGTGGCTAAACATAGTAAGGAATGCAATTATCAAAAGAAAAGAAACATATACAACTAGAATCAAAATACTCACATAGGTTCTCCTGCACGGTGCTCTGCTTATTAGGTATATTTCTGTGGCAAGCACAGGGGAAGCAGGTGGGGATTCCAGTATATAAAGAGAAAGTAATAGTGTATGAAGAGAATTTTAAAAGGGCCCCACACAGCTGTCAGTGTGGGTGTGTTCCAGTTAGCAATAGTAAGTTACTCAAAAGAGAAACTTGTTTAAAAGGCCTGTGCCTGCTCACATGAAATACCGAAATGAAATAGAATCATTCAGATCCTTAGGATATACAGTTTCAAGAGTGAAAATCCAAAAGGCTTCACGTTGTAGTAGTCTAGTAGACTACTGTAAGAGTTCGTTGTTTGTACCATATAAGATAAATTTTTTTTTAGAGAACTGCATGCTGTATAACTTACACTAGATTCCATACGTTGAATACGTTGTTTCCATACGTTGAATGTTTGGTCTTAGGGGCCTTTTGCCTTTTGCCAAGGAATACTTCCCATGTTTATGCATTTTTCCCCATTTCCTAACCAGCAGTTGCTCATTCCAAATGGTGTTGAACTGCAACTCCCACCAGCTCCCAGCCAGCACAGTTAATGGTGAAGAATGCTGGGGTTTGCAGTTCATCATAATAATCTAAATGGCCACACATTGCTTATCCTTGATGTAGATTGTAATCATTTGAAACTATCCTTTCTCTTTAGGTTTTATACAAAACCATTGTGTCAGCATTCAACAAGAATGATTCTGGCATCTCCTCCATTTTATTAATGTGTTCGTGTCTTATTAGTTTTGTTCATCTCATGCTTGTTTTTAAGTTTACTTGCTTTCATCCAGTTATAATTGTGAGCATACCTGAACTGGGCTAACAAAAACATTTTATGGTGTGTAGAAATTTCAAAATATGCTGAAAGCATATTTCACCCTGACTGACAAGTCTTGCTCAAACCCGAGGGATTTAGCAGCTCTGCTTTTTTAGAAAAAGGGTGAAACTGTCTTTTAAATTCCTCTCAGAAAAAAATGAAGGATATTATCTGGGATGAATTTCTTTTTTCAAAAAGTAACCACTATTTTTTAAAATAAAGAACCAGAAATTGAGGTCTAACAATGATAGATGAGGGGAAACACTTATCTCATTTCCTCTCATTCAATTGGGTTGTGTGTATGGTTTGCAACCATAACTCTAGGGACTTTTTCATCATAGAGACAATAAACATTTGGACTGAGAATTCTTCTGCCAGAGTTTGGCATGCAGGAATTCCCATGGATGTTCCTTCTGCTTATTTGCCTTGATTCCTTATGTTTTAGCAGTCAATCAGCAGTAAAGAAGAAGCAAAGCTTTTTTTTGCTAGCTGTCATGTGATGCTCACAGAAATTGTTAAATTATGTTGTATTTGCAAACAGATTTATTTCTGCTTTTGATTCCTGTTAGGTAATTATAGTTTTTAAACATTCATACAGGAATGAAGGAATGTTTTAAAAGAAAAAGAAAGCAAACTTCTCCATATGGAAGCCAGTTCTCAAGTCTTGCCATAAAGATTTTATTACAAAGAAGGAGCACATTATCGAGTGGGAAGAGATCCCAAAGACCATCCAGTCTAACTCCATTCTGCCATGCAGGAACACACAATCAAAGCATGCCCAACAGATGGCCACCCAGCGACTGCTTAAAAACCTCCAAAACCTCCATCACGGTCTCAGGCACCAACATATTCCACTGCTGAAGAGCTCCTACTGCTGGGGAAGTTCTTCCTAATGTTTAGGTGGAATCTCCTTTCCTGTAATTTGAGTCCATTGCTCCATGCCTTAGTCTGCTCCCTCCTCAGTGTCGCATCCTTCCAATATTTAAACATGGCTATTATGTTCCCTCTCGACCTTTTTTTCTCCCAGCTCCCTAAGTCATTCCTCACAGGGCTTGGTTTCCAAAGCTTTAACCATTTTGCCCCCCCCCCCCCCCGCCCCATCTTTGGACACTTTCTAGTTTGTCAATATCATCCTTGAATTGAGGGGCCCAGAATTGGGCATACAGTTATTCCAGGTGAGATCTAACCAAAGCAGAATAGAGTGGGCTTTGATTTCCCTTGATTTTGACACTATATTCCTGTGAATGCAAACTAGATTTGTGTTGGCTTTTCTGACTGCTATTGAATGTTGTTCAAAGCCAGACTACCATCTCCTCCTATCAGAGTTACATACTGTTCGTAGCACATATGTTCTGTAGATTATAGTGTGTATGTCTGTAGTATATTTTTAGAATGTATCCTATGACTATTTTATCTATTGACTCTCGTGTCAATGGCATGTCAATAAATTTAAAGAATAATTGCACTTTAGAAAGTGGTTTAAATACCATCTTTCTTTAGCAGCAGAAGGCAGGAAAAACTGCAGCAGGAGAAATTGCCACTGGTTCATTGATTATCAACTGTCATAATCACCATTTCTAGTTCCATTGTTTATTTCATCCACGCAGTATGTTGAAATAACGAACGCGGAATGGCTTAAATGATGTAAAGAGATAAGGAGTTGAACTGGAAGACATTTATTGTTATAGTTTTAATGGTTTATATGGATTTTTATTATGTGATATTAAATGTTTTTAATTGATTATGTATGTATGTATGCATGTATATTATGGCATCTAATTGTTGCCAATCTGTACGCCGCCCAGAGTCGCTTTCAGGCTGAAAAGAGTGGGATAAAAATGCTGTAAATAAATAAATAAAATATTTATACATAGAATGTATTAGTAGCATATGATAAATGATGTTACCTGTTCCCTTTGTTAGTTTAGAGAAACAATGACACACTTATGCCTTAGGGTGCCTCACACCTGACAAATCCTTTCATGTTAAAATTGGATTTACAAATATCACATGGCTTATAAATGAGCTGCTTTCTTCTTTTTTTTAATAAATGCATGGACCAGGATGTAAAGTGGGTCATGGTGTGTGTGTGTGCCAACTTTGGTCCTGATCCGTCATTGTTGGGGGTCACAGTAGTCTGTGGTAGCCGAAACAATATTTCCAAGGTAAGGAGTGGCATAAAATTTCTGCTTATCCAACAGCCCTGAGACGAAACACAATAAACATCTGTGATTTCAAAGTCGCACTTAAGTGATTTAAAAGTTCCTTCTGAAACCATGACACACTTCTGAAGCCAGCATGTAGGCAATTCTGAGCTAGATGTGCTCTATAAAGGTTTCTCATGTTCTCTCTCTAGTATTGGCGTAGTTTGCAAAAAGGAGAGACACTGCTTGAACAGCCCTTGCCTAAGCATCTCATCCAGTCTTTCCAAAGGTGCTGAAATACCACTAAGAGAACTCCTCCCTTGGTTGGCAGGGCTCTGGCCCTTGGGAAGACCCATGGTGTTTGAGACAGGACCCATCATTGTGCTAACCTTCTGCAGCTTATGTGAGGGAGGGAGTAAAGGTTTGAATGGCTGACTCATCTCGGGGGCACATTTAGATATGTTTGCCATACACGATTTTGCTTGTTTTCTTTTGAGACCTCATTTCAGTAACTGTGAAACTGACTATTTCTCGCGTTTTGCTGTTTTCTTTCAAAGCTCAAGTTTCAGTCTTCCCCATCAATGTGAATATGGCTTTCCCTCTAGATTTAGCTCCCAAGCTCTTTTTGCTACTCGCCTTTATTTCAGTTACTCCATCTTTTATACATTAATTTGTTGTGGGGGTTTTCGTGGAAAATGTGTTTTGGATGTGAGTTCGTTCTCCAAAAATTCTGTGGCTGCCGATGAATTATTATAACATGGAAACTACAAAGGATTTTAAAATCAAGAGAGGGGAAAACCATACCAAAACAGGTATTAGGGAGATGTTCTCCTTTTTTCTCTCTTCTGCAAGATCTTATCCTTTAGGTACACAGCAGAATAATATATACAGTACTCAGATGTTCAAACATGAGTTAACCTAACTAAGATGCATATGGCATAGAAGTTAGAATCACATATTTTAATACTCCTATTGTTTACTTTGTAACAGGAAATTACATCCTTAATTGGGTGGGTCTGGTGGAGGAGGTGTTCATTATCTTTCATAACTTGCCTTATCTCTCACATCCCTGTGTTTTTCTGGTGTGTGCACACGTGTCTGCTCCCTGTTTGTTTGCCTGAGGTCAAGTAGTCACTTGGGACAGAGATATGATCATCTAAATCTTGTGTAATTTGACCCTAATGTTTTGATCCTTCTCTGAAATAGCAGATCTACTGCTGGCTGTTCTCACTTAACTGGATCAGAGCTGAGAACTTTATAATTAGTGCTGGTGTGTTAACTTTAAATACTGGACAAATAATTACTTGCTGCTTGTATTTTAAGGCATACAATTGAGTTGTTATATCACAATATATCACAATATTTAAAATATTAATTAATGAAATTGTAACAAAATTACTGCCCAAACTAAAAAAAATTAAAAACCACGAAGGTAGAGTGAGTGATGTTTGCCAAAACAAAGAAATAGATTGATTTATCTAGATGTGCGCCCCCCCCCCCAAACCCCATTCTTCTGTTACTTTAGCAGTAGGGGAAGGAACTGCATTGCAGCAGTTCGCACAACACCACCATGATACCAGAAAGTTGCTATAGGCTTCCTGGCAATGACTTGGACCATTCAGAAGAAGCGTCAAGGGTGTGTTGGGTTAAATTAAATTGTCCATTCTTTCCATCCCTCTCAGAACTGTTGCAGCTGCTAAACTGATCAATGTATTGTTGATATCACTGGATGCCAAAACCAATCTGGCAGGAGTAAGAAATGGAAGTCATTCTTTTATAACAGCTTATTGTTTCAAAACATCTGGAATTTCTTTTTTAATGTAAGAAATGTAAAAATAGTCAAATAAATAATTAGAACTTGTTTTAATTCCTTTCAGGTATGATGGTGGTGATCGTGTTGCTGCTGATTGCAATTGTTGTCGTTGCTGCTTGGCCTACAAAGTAATCCTCAGAGGTGGCACTTTGCAAGATAGGGTTTGGAGGCATCAGGGGCAAGTCCAAGCCCCCTCGCTCTTGGAACAGAGTCAACTGTATTCAGCCCCTTCTCAGGGCACAATGGCAAATCCACAGCAAGTAAAGGGTTTTCTTCCCAACAAGCTCAGTCCAGTAAGACTTTTGAAGAACATAACTGGAAGGGGACTGATCATCCGCAAACATAGGTGAAGAAATGCAGTTAATTCCAAAGAGATGGTCTCTGATTTGCTTTTATGCTTTTGAGAGCGGATGATGTTAATATCTGGAGTGCCTGGGTAAAATGTTAAAGACTTTTCTTTCTAATGTGTTTCCTTGGATCTAACGTGTTTAACATTTTTATCCTAGATTCCATGGCACTGAATCCAGGAATGATTTTGCATGAACTGCAGCTTTGTTTGAAGGCACAAAATACAGTTTTTCAAATGCAGAGAAATGTCTTAGTCTCTGTCACAGTATGCTTTTATTGTCCTTGATTTCTCCTGTATATACACTAATACCTGAGAAGAAAAGTATACCTAAATTCCAGAATCTCTTTTCTATATGTTCTGAAAGCAAATAAGAGAGACTAGCAATATGAGAAAAAGAAGAAGAAATCATATAAAGTTAATTCATCTTCAGAATTTTGCTACCTATGTGCCAACTTGATGGCTAGCACAAAAATAAGACTGAATAAAAGCCATTTCATTTCTAAATTCTTTCATTCTCTGCCATTATATTTTAATTTATTGGGTTTCCTACAGGTCAGGGACATTTAAACTTTAGGGAACCTTAAAGACTTCCTTGAGTAACTTTGACCTTTGTGATTAATGATGCTTTTAGCCCAGCTAGTTCTGGTATTTGTTGACTGCTTGGATTTGAGAAAATGTGCCTCTGTGAGATTAGCAGATTGGGATGGGGGGGAGGGATACAGTAGGACCCATAAACTCACCTTCAAGACAGCATTGGAAGCAGCTGTGCAAACCTTTTTGCTTTCATTTCTAAGGCATGAGGCCTAATCCATGCTAGACTGAATACTGAAAATCCAATTATGAGAGAGCCATTCACTGGGAAAGAGAGCATTAAGAAATGTGTAAGAAAGGATCTTCTTGCTCAGAGCTCCTATGTAAACTGTTCTTGGCTATCCCAGAACCTCTGGAAAAACCTCTTGGAGGAATGTTTGAGTCACGGATCCAAGGAGTTATTTCCTGTTTAGCCAGAGCTGCCCACCATAAGTATGATGCTTTCCAAAAATGAAAATTAGAAAGCAAATGGGACTGTCACAAATGGTAATGCAATCATTACTGGATGTGTTTTAATATTAAGTTGCTGTTGTGACAGAATGACAAGTATGGAAGAAAAGAAAACCAAATGAAAACTGTTTTTAATGAAGTGCATTTAAATATATCTGCTTTGGAGCCCAACATGGTTGATTTGTGGTATTGCTTTGGGGTATGTGAGAAGCCACTCTTAGTAGACTTGTATGGTTATTATTAGTCTTTGCTTCCAGCAAAGGTAAAGTGAGAATTGGGTGCTTTCATCTCTAAAATGATACAACTGTTCAGATCTCTCTGGAAGTCTTATGTTCCGTAACCTCAGGGAGGGGAAAAGTAACCTGTTCTGGAATTGCCACTAGAAGTGCCTTTTCTACTGCGTAGCTTGCCCCTTGTCTCTTGCAGTTTGATAGCAGCCATCCGGGCTGTCAATCTGCAATGATGAGTAATCTGTGGGTAGGAATAATGATTTATCTTTTCCCATGCAGAAACAATTTGGTATCGCCTGTGCAATCTTCCTCATGCTGAAGATATGTGAAATAATTGAGGTGTTTTTTCAACATGAAGGCAAAAGAGAAACATAAACCATCCACACAGATCCTTCAAAAGTGCCTGAATGCTTCAGTTACTATAGGAGTAGAGTTTAGTACAGTTTAGACTGGTGGCCTAATGTTTCCCCACTTCTGATCTAATTAGTATTTTTAAAATGTTTCCCAGCCAGTGAGGAAATAGCAGCAAATAGTTGTTGCTGGGCTGTTTTCCATGGAAGAGCCCATATTCCCATGAGAGCTGAAGGGGTCACTTTGTCCACCCAGATGAAACAGAAAGAGGCTGGCATGAGAAGTTTACAAGAGTTTATTTGACAGATGTCTGGATTTAGTCCTATGAAGTGCATGCTGCACAATTACAGGCTCCTTCTCAGTCAATTGTCAGCCCATCTAACAAATAAGAAAATGGAGGAAGGGAGAATAAGAAAATCCACAACTCTTTTCCCACATGTCATTAAATATATTCATATATATAACCATAATATATTAGTATGCATTGTAAAGAAACATTGCTCCCAAACTATATGCAATGGTCATAACTAAACAACATTTACAATTTGTGATATTAACAAGAACAACAAGAGCACAGGCTTTCTTCCCCTGTGTAATCAGTGTGTATGTGTGCACGCCTGACAGAGAGAGAGAGAGGTGGAGGGACAGTGATCAGTGGATCAGTTAAAACACTAACTAAAAATTGGAATGAATCTTTTGTTCAGTGCTACCAATTTGCGGTAATTATTTTGCACCTTATCTGCTTCTCAGAATAATTCCAGTTGCCATCTTACCCTGTCCATACACTTTGTAATATTTCTCCACAGTATTTCAACATTGTTAGCATTATACATCTGGTCTTGACAACCCACAACCTGGCACGTTCAGAGCAGATACAAGGTACCCTTTTCTGTCACTTCAGATTACTTCATTTTATTTGGTAATGGCAATGCTTGATTTCTCATCTGGAAACACGTAATTTATATTTTGCTATATTTCAAGATTGTGGTATCTTAAGTTTCTTAAGGTCAGTTTGGGAAACAGCAGCTTGCCATCTTGCTTTCTAAGTTGCCATAAACGTTGGGGTATGAGATGACTAGAAATGGCTTATTGTGCTTGTCTTCCATACGCCTACCTAATTGTTGTTGTCCCAATAAAAATGGGAACCTCAGAACCCTTTTATACTGCACAGTTGTACCACATCAATACTACGTTTAGCTGCAAATATTGCATCCTGTGGAATTTTGGGATTTGAAGTTTTCTGAAGCCGTTGAGCTCTCTGCAGGGAATGCTAAATACCAAATGGATCTATACATCCCAGGAATTAAGAATGGAACAATGGCAGCTAAAGTGCTATGATTGTGTAGCATAAAAGAGGCCTAAACTGATCTGGTTATTTGCTACTTCCTAAGCATATCTGATCATGATGGAAGATTGAAAACTCAGCCAATGAATAGCCCGTGTGTTGGCACATTTCTGTCATACACTAAAATGGGAGGAGGCTGTAGGGAGTAAGGCAATCCCTAAAATACATAACTTTAAGTCTTCTGTTGAGCTGATTTTGAATCTGAAAGTCTACTGCAGTGTACCAAGGGAGGGATTTGTTATATATTAGAAGTACAAAACAAGCCCGTCAAAGTAGTCGTGACTGTATAGAGAAGAGATTTTCTTACTAATGTAGGAGGAAGAAAGATTCTTTCAAAATAAGGTATATTTTTAATTAATACACAGTCTCTGAGCTCTAGACCTATTTTTACACTTTGTGCTAACTCTACAATAACTCATCTTGGTTTTCTTTGTAGATTCTTTTTTTTACTTATCATCCTCCGTTATAGCTTTCTGGATTATTAGTGCCTGTTATAAAAGGCAAGCCCACTCTTCGGCTGTCCTAAAGAAGATTAGACACCAATAAAAGTATCTTATTTTGTAAGCATTGCTTTTAGGGATTATATAGTGGTTATCAGTACTTATTCCAAACATAGAATTGCCTCCAGAATGCTTTCTTGTCCAGGGCTGAAACTGTATCTACAGTTGCATAGTCAGGATGTTGTCCATGAGAGTAAAAGAACTTTCAAGGAAAAGCAACATTATAACAAGATTTGTAATGAGAATACTAGAATAGCCCTTTTTGTAGCAGGCGAAACCTTCACTTAGGAAGACAGAACAAGGAGGCTTGTGTTGTAGACAGTGCAGTAGTACGGCTGAGTTGAATTTTCATGAGTTTTGCTTTTTGTATTGAAATCTGAACATTGAAGGGGAAACATTTCATCAGACTGCTGAGCACATCTTAGGAAAATAAGCATTTTTTTTGTGCAGGATGTGAGAGCTAATCAAAAACCCAGAAGCAAGTCCCCCAAAGTAGATTTTTAAGACACTACCATTCCTGAATCAGCCTTCACAGCCCAACAGAGAGAAGTATCCAAGCCTTGAGATCAAGAGACCTTGGCTCTCCTCAGGTTAAACAGTTTGAGTGGAAGCTTTTGGTACACCTTCTTTCCTCAGGCTGTGTAACTTTTATAGGACTACCCTAGTCCTGCCCTCCATACTATGGCCTACATTGTAATTCCTTGACACCTTCAGAAACATACTTCAGTGGCTATTGTTCAGCTTTGAGTTTTCTTTAATGTCCAATTTCTAGACAAAACATAAATTTTCAGGAAACTTGAAGATGTAAAAACAAAGCTAAATAGATGGTGTCAACGCCACTCGAAGTCTGTGTATTTGGAGAAGAAGCTTGTTCCACAGCACAATAACTACCAATATATTTGTATTCAGAATCTGATTTGATCATTAAGATTCTGCATAGACACAGTCCAAAACAAATTCTGAATACTTTTGCCTTTTCTCCAGATGAAACTGACTTTTAACCTAAATAACTCTCCTATGACTGGAGTCATGTTGAGAGTTGCTCCATCATCTTCCATGAGCACTGAGTCAAAATGTCAGTTGTAGCAAAACAGAACTGTTTTCTTCTTCTTAATAAGAGATATTTTCTTCAGTATACCTTTCCTCAGTCACTACTACATTTATGGCACTTCACCCACAGGATGGTGGAAGCAGGCACCGTTTCATTCTTCTCAAGGTTTTCTTCCATTGACTTGGTGTTCTCTGGTCTGATTGGTGAAAGCCAATTGGGACCAATCTAATGACCTGGGCCAAATTTCAGGCAGAGATAAAATGGGCAAATTGCTTGCTTGGGGCAGCTTTTAGACAGATTTTAGATGTTTCTCTCACCAAATAATGATTATGAAATCAAGTCTGAAGTAAATTTTGATAAGAAACTTAAAAGTGCAGAGCCAATAAAAAGGAATCCAACTTTAACCAGGCCTTCGACCTCATTAAGAAATAGTTACCAATTGTGGAAGTCTGGTGGCCTTCTGACATTTTAAATCATTCTCTCTCTTTTGCTCCTTTCAACATGATGGTCACTTAAATGTCTGTGGTCATAATATTAGCTTGTCATTCCATGCAACCAGGTGGCCACAAGACCTTATGTTAAATTCTCTTTGATGCCCTGATCAGATGAAAGTAAGATGGTCACGCGACTTTCCAATCTTATCTTTTGTCTTGGCTTGGGACTCCACCAGAGAGACAGAGTTCTGATTTTCCCTTCTTAGTAGACTGACATCCCGACATTATTTCTGCGTCTCTGCATCTTCCATACACTCTCCTCAACGGGTTGCTGCGATGAGAAGATTAATGGTTTCTGATGACAAAACTTGAAACGTGTATTTGAGCAGTGTCTTGGTACCCAGGGTTTTCATCTTCAGGATTCTTTTCCTTTAGTAGAGAGGACTGAATGCAAGTTGGAGGTTGTTTTAATGAGCTTTCTCCGGTAGGCCCAATAAGCATGACTGATGTTCTATAGGAACTGAGTGTACTTCATACTGATCACAGGTCTTCCTCAATAGACAAATATATGTTAAAAAACTGCACATTTCATAAAATGCAACTCTTATATGTTACAGACATTGGTCTGTTTTGTACATACAGCAGAACAAGATGTTTGAATCTTAAGATGTTCGAATGGACCATATTGCTTCAGGTCAGAGGGAGATGGAGGGATGCCATTTTGAAAGATTCAGTCAACATGAAGAGAACCATGTAAAAATAAAACCAACAGATCAAGCACAGTGGTGGTGAACATGTGGTCTTCCGGATGCTATTGGACAGCCATCAGCCTTTGCTGTCATAGCCTGTATTCACAGATGATGTGAACCAATACCATCTGAAGTCCCACACACTTCCTATCCTTGGCCCAGCAAATTGGGGGGAGGGGGGTCAGTCCTAGATCTTTCTGCTGCACTAGCTTTCCACTTTCAGGGAATATTTTAATACAAGGAAGTACTAACTATACATCTATAATTGATATCATCCACTCTACTTTTAATTCCACAGAAAGATCATACCTGGGCAATGTGTGGCTGAAACTGGACACTCTGAAGGAAACAATTTTCAGTCCTGAAATACATTTTAATATTTATGTAAATTCAGCTCTTCCTCAACCTTTATCGCTTGCAAGTAAATTAGTTCTCCCTGGGTCGACAATAATAATTGATATGAACTCTATTGATTAATCCACCTCATCTGGGAGGCTGTTCTTTTTATCACAGCAAGGAAGGCTACCGAATCCAAGTGCTCTGAAACTCCCAATTGTGTGCAGAGGGGTGAAGTCACTGCTTCCCCCGGCCTCACCATTCCAGCCAGCCCTGCTGTCCTCCATACTCCACTTCCCCGGCATCTGGCCACTTGACACCTATTTTTGCTGAAGTTTGTTTTATGGTAGTTTATGTCATTATATAAATATTGTCCATTGCTATAAAACAAGGCAAAACCACTGGAAAATGTCATTAAAAGGATGTTTCCAAGTTTCCTAATAGGAAACATCTCAGGGAAGTTTGTATTTTGCAGGGCATGCCGCCCTGAGCTCACAGTTGAACTGCTTACTTGTATCATCCTCCAAGTTATATAGTTAGGACCAGTAGGAGATTTGTGTGACTGGCAACAAAATCTCAATCACTTCTTATGATCTTAAAAGGAAGTGAACCCACACCTCTCCCCATCTTTTTAAAGAAGTCTAGATTGCTTGAACAATGGTGCATTTGTAGAAGTCGTTCTTTCTATCCAACCAACTTATGAGTCACTATACAGACTATTATGAAATCATGGCTACCACAAGCTTTTACAAACAGAGGAGTTAGCTTGTCAAGTGCCACCCTCATTTCTCCTTGTAAGCATTGGTATTCAGGGATCAGTTCTTTCTCTTTTTCCTCCCTGCTACAGAAAGAGTATCAATCTTGGTTTTACACAATTATGGCACTGATCCCAGTTCTTGATCTGCCATTTCTGCATCCTGCAGAATCCTGGTACAGTGTTCCCTCACTTCGTGTGGGTGTTACGTTCCAGGATCACCTGCGAAAAGTGAAAATCCGCAAAGTAGGGATGTTATATATGTATATCACATTCCAAGGGTGAGGCAGAAGTGAGGAGAGATTTAAAGGCACCACACACTTTTTTTTTTTTTTTTTGGCTAGCTATCTCTGCTTTGCATTGCAATCTCTCTTGATTGGCTGCCTCCCTCCCAAGGGGGGAGGGTGAAACCCCCTTCCACACTCCATCGTTGCCTGAAGGCGGGATTAGAACTCTGCTCTGGGCAACAGCAACCATTCATAAACTGGGTGGCAAAAACACGCGAAACAGCAAGTCCGTGAAAAGTGAAACATGAAGTAGCAAGGGAACACTATTTGTAGTTTGGTGAGGCACTAGAACTCTCTGGCAGAGAATTCTAAGCATGCCACATAATCATTAAAATGAGATCAAAGTGCTACAATTGTGTAGAATGAAAGATTGGAATGAATTCTGAAGCCATGCCGATAGTGGAAGAACTGCCATATGCGGATCCTATAATGAGACATTAATAACCACAGTATTGGAGATGGACTGGTTTGGAGAGGTGACAGTCTCTGACTCAAGCAAGGAAGAGAGAACAGCTACTCTCAGTTAAGACTGCAGTGCTTCTAGGCAGCATTTATTTCATACATTCTGGTGAATGTAGGCGTGAGAGTGATCTAGCGCTCTCACAGTGGGTGGGGGGCATCAAAGCATTGCAATATTTCCTAGAGTAACCAATTTCAACAGCTCCATAAGTACTTTCTTCCTTGCTCTTAACTTTCCTAACTTGAATGAAGCAGTAAGGTTGTGGTTTAGAGCAACATTCTGAAAAAGTGCACCCTTTGACACCCCAATAACTGTCCCGTATTAGGGTAAGTGAAATGTGATTGTTTACAACTAAGCTGTCCCTTGAAAACTTGACCCACTTTTGATATATCAAGATTCTGCATGATAGAGAATGGAATAACCACTCCAACTGTTTGCTCCTCAGGTGGTTACTGTCCCAGTAGTCTGTTTCAAACCAACATCCTGAACATCACCATGCTTCCTGTCAATCAAAGGTGTATGGGAGGCATTTCCCTCCTCTTATTATGGTCTTCTGTTATGACAAGTTTCAGTGTATCTATTTAAGGCAGGCGGGCTCTTCAGAAGAAAAAATCAAAGGGGATGATGGAACTAGTGGCAGATCTAACAGTCATTCCTATGGTGAGTAGGTTCTTGTGTGGCTCTTCTCTAAACTTGTTCTCTCGCTACAATTTGTGGTAGTATGAGGTGCAAAATTGGCAGGTCTCACAAGAAGGTATTAGTCCATGTTTTGCCCTCCCAGTCCCATGAACTGCAAAGCAACTTTTTGCCAGTGTCCCTTATCTCGCCCCACCTGCTCCAAATTCTGCACAAAACTCTGAGTGCAGTCTCTCTTTCCATCTTCTAGGCTTTCTTGCACTTCCCCTTCTTTTCCCGTTGCTGGAACTTCCTCAGCCGCCGGGCCCATGTGTCCCTCCACTGTATCACAAGGCTGCTTTTGTCTGCAACAATGCCATTCTGGTCAGGAGAGTCTTCATCGTGGCCCAGCAGCAAGTATTTCTTCATGGGCTTGATTTTTGGGCACTTGCAAGCAATATCCTTGGAGCGTATCCACAGAATCTGGTCACCACGCCGTATCCGGTTTGTCCCTTGCTTGTACACAGAGATGATGTTGACTGTGAATTTCCACCACTCTCCAGCTTTGTCTGCTTTCAGGATATGGATTTGAACAGCTGGGAACAGAAAGCCAAGAACAAGGACAATCACTGTAATGCATTTCTCATTATATTTACCAATGCCCCAACTATTGAAACAATTATGATCTAGAAATATGCATATTTGTTGTATTGTTGCAGTGACTTGGGATTTTAGGTCCCCAAGACAAAAAAAAGGTCCACTGGAAGGCTTTAAAAAAACCAGTTCATTTTCACTTTGCTTTGTACAGAAATGCTCCTCTTCTTCATCAGGTTTGGTTTGAGTTTATTCCAGGCTTAGACCATATGTATTCACATATAGGACAAACAAATAAATACATAAAACCAGATTAAATATGCTATGAAATACACCATTAAAATATTATATACATCATTATAAATCTGGTTTGGTAGAAGAACATATTGGATGAAACTCCAAGGAACAATACCTGTGCGTCTCTTGAGAAGTTGAAAAGTGCAATGTGTTGTGAACAACCTATGGGAAGTAATCTTCATACATTTGTAATAGGATTGATCAGGCAAGGTAGCTGATGGATGTTAAAGCCAAAGTCAACAGTAGGTGGAACCAACTAATTCTGACTTTATCTCCCCCCCCCCCCCCCCCCCCCCACACACACACATCCACACAATCATATCTGATTCTCTTTGGGAGGAGTACTGTGCCATTCCATGGACTGGTTTTTGGTAAGGAGAGAGGCAGGAATACGCTGTCTTGAAGGAGCCTAAGCTTGGGGAATGTAGTGACCAACTCCACTGTGGCATATAATAAAGACTAACAGCAGTTTAAAAAATGAATTACTTGACAGTATTTGTAAAATGATTAGCAGTCAAAATAATCAATTCCTTGGAAATATAAAATGTTTAGGTTGCTGTACTTGTCTAATGATGAGTTAGAATCAAAATTTAAAAAATAACATGGTCATTTTGCACCATAGTCCAACTAAATATTGATCTAATCTGCAAATGGGAGGAACTGTCAGCAATTTGAAATCCTTTCCCGTATTGGAAGTCCAGTTGCCATGGGGTGTGGGGAGCTTCAGGAACTATTTGACTTATACAAAATGAATATTCAATTTACTGTGCTTGGTAGAAGACCAAGAAGTTAACAAAGAATGCATATACTACATTCAGATTCATTTTTATACAGTTACTAGTTTTATGATTGACTGGATTTGCACCTCACGTTTCCTACAGTGAGCTCCAAGCAGCATACAAGGCTCTTTCCTTTTCTATTTTATCTTCACAACAAGCCTATAAGGTAGCTCAGAAGCCGAGAGACATGTAAGGGGCACAAGGTGCCCCCAAGTAGTGAGAATAATAATTTGGATCCAATCCAGATTATGTTTTTGTTATTGAAGTGGGTGGAGAAGGCAGCTATTATCTTAGTTTTCTGAAGGATGTTTGCCATTTGGGAAGAATACGTTGTTCTTTATGTGTTCAAATCTTTGTGTAACCCCTCAAAAGCATTCTGTGGCGATTGCTAGCACATTTGGGAACTGTTCCTCCGCATCCTTTCCTTGTGAAGAGAGGGACCTGTCCAACTTTCCCTTCTTTTTCTCACATTTGACCTTGGTGGTCTGTGCTAGTGTCCCACATTCCAGACCTGACTATGATGGTAACCGTTTCCATGTTTCCCTTACCTAGGGATTTGAGGCTCAATGTGAACTTTTAAAAAAGAAAATAAAACATGAAGGAAATCAAGGCCTTGTTTAGCTGAAGTCATGAAAGGTGGCCATGGTAACAAAAGGCACCCATTTGAGTTTGAGCAAAAGGGTAGGAGAGGAAACAAAAACCTATCCAGAACTTTGCCCCACTGTTTGGTTTTTTGCCGGAGAGGGAGGGGGGACAGCATGTGAAAAGAATTTGACCGCAATGTATTCGCTGAGAGCAGGGGTCTCACATTTTAACCAACTACAGCTCATAAAAATGCAAGCCATGTCAGATTGGGAGAGATGAATAGGCCATTCTGCACACTACCTCATCCCCAGTAGTAGCTATTTCAGTATTTTCTTAAATTATGAAATGCCTCTCTCTGAATTGATTAAAAATGTTAGGATATATATTCCAATAGAGTAGCCAAATAATCTCCTACCTAAAACTGCCAAAGATAAGTAAAACTGCTGAACATAGAATCGTGACATAGATACTGCTGAGTAGAAGCCATTCATAGTTCTGCCTGAAACAAATCTGTCTTTTATTTTATGTTTCAATCTTAAAACTAATAGTAGTTGCAGTAGTACATCTGCATCCTTGGAGAAGCTGTACTTGATTTATCTGAATCTCCAGAAAGGCCAGCCTAGAAAAGCTCTACTGAAAAAACTGTCTTTTTTCCTGTGATCCAGGATCTATCTGGGAGGGAACCCAAAGTTAGATGCTCAAAGTCAACAGGCATCAAAATAAATTCCTTGGAATTTGTATAACTCAAACACAGGTTTATCAGAACTCATTAAAGTTGTTTAAAAGGTAAGTGGTACACTGTTATCTTCATCTGAATGATTTTGTGTCAGATTCACTTTGCATGGATTCCTGCTTCACAAATTGGAACACCAGCTGAGCTGTGAATTTGGCTTTCTGCACCATTAAGGATCTTTTACACCAAAAATTGCCTGGAAAATTTAGTATAATCCAGGTTCCTTAATTTAATCATTCCAAAGAACTAAGAAAAAAATATTGCTATTTTAAATGCGGGAGGGAAGTGTCATCATCTCTCTTCTGTATCCTCATCCTACGCTTTACAGCAAATCCTATCAAAAATCTGGGCCCTGAGAGTTGTGCAGGTTCCTCTGAGCAGCTTGACAGATTTTCTTGTGAAGGTACAGGTGTGAACTGTTGTTTTGGCCAAAGATCACTTGTCCCAGATGATAATAGATGGCCTTCAATTTTAATTATATTTCCATTACATTCCTGTTTGTTGATCCTGCACTAGCAATCTGTTTTTTACAAAATGTGTAGGGTTGTCTAATCAAGCCTGGCAGCAATGGTTTCTGGGTTAATTTTAAAGTGTGGTATCACAAAGGGAGAAAACCAGTCCAACTCCAGTTAGAATTAGCACAGTTTCCTCTATGTTCTGCTGGGTTTTCCTCCTTCCCCTCCTCTTAATTTGAGCAACACTGACAGCTCCGACAGCTGCTGGCACATCCTCCCACTGCCTGCCTGCCAGACTAAAAAGAGATCAAATCAACATTCGCTTAAAGAGAAGAACTGACAAGCCAGCTGGTTAACAGGGCGGGTAACCTCTCCCAGCGGGGAAGAAGGGGAAATTCCTCCAGAGGCAGCATCTCTGTTCCATTCATCCGTGAGATTGTGCTGTGAGCCACAAAGCCCCCCTCCCAGCCAAAGGCTCACAGGCAAAGTGGATTAGCCTGAGCCCTGGCACCAGCAAGAACATGATGGGCAAAATGATCGGGATTGGTAACCGGGGAGAAGGGGCCAAGCAGATGAAACAAGCAGCAGGTGCCCCGTAAGCAGCTCGACAAGCCTGCTGTGCTCTGGCAATGTACCCCCTGAGGGAGAGAACAAAATAAATTGAGTCACAGCTTTCACATTGAGCTTGTTCCTGCCGGAGCCCCCAATGACACTCATTTCCGACATGGTGTGGCATGTGTCCAGCCCTTGGCTAAGAATATCTTAGGCTCCGAGCCTGTGAGCAGCCAAGGGCAGGGGTCCTCAAGCTCCCCTGGGCTCTTCCTCCTTTCTGGGCAGTTAGAAGAACCAGCAGCCCTAATAGCTATAAACCTTTCTAAGCAGGGAAGAGAAGGCCAAGTCAACAAGGGCAGGAGTTAGCTTTTTTGGAAAGTAGTTTAAACACACACAACCTACCCACACTAATTTACTCGGGTCAAAGTCAGACTGGCCTCTGAGAAATGGGTCAAGAAGAACTTGAAGAACTATTTTGGCAGCGATTGTGTGCGCACAAGTAATGTAGTAAAGAAATGTCTATATCAGAAAGGAATAGAAAAGATAACATTTTATATCAAAATGTGACTTAATTATGCTGAAGGCATTGGGGTTGGCATTCTTTCCGCCAGCCCTGGTTCTCTTTACAAGAATCTGTAGAGTGCTGCTCTCTCAAGACACAATGGGTGTGAGGTCAAGGCTCTGTTTTTCCATGCACTAGTAACCAGCCACGAGGTGGCAATATAACTCTTTAGGCATCTGAGAAATTACAGTAACATGGGGGTGACAATCTGGGGCAAAATACTCATTATTTGAGGCTGCAGTTATGCACAATTACATGCAGAGTAATTCCCGTTGAACTTACTGTAACTTACTTGTAAGCACTATAAGAATTCGCTCCAAATCTCTCCACAAAAAGATCCATATGCATGTTGAGGCACCATGCCCATTTTGCAATATTAGAGAGCTAAATTATAAAATCCTTTACCATTCTAAATGATTACTACATTGATACAAGACAGCTAAACCTGATCATAATCTTGACCATTGGAGCTTGAACATTCCAGAAGTTTAATTTCAAGACAATCCTTCCTAAAAAAAATTCTACTTTTATCAAATGAAACCAAAGCCTGGGGAACAAGGGAAATCAATAAAGTTGTTGGAGTTCCTTTCCTTCCCATCCCCTCCAGATGTCTGCAGACTCCGAGCAAATGTGTTTGCTATAGTTCTTTGTTCTTAAAAACTATCTAAGCCTAGGTCAGGTCATTCTGGTTTCAACCCTCTCCAGAGCAAAGTTTGTCAGTATTATTAAAATCTTATTTTTGAACTGGGGCTAGAAGGCTTATGGGGTTTACCTGTTTCATTTGAGTTTAATATTGAAGATTTATGAGGTTTAATCTCTGTTTTTTGCAAAAGGTGTGACCCATCCAGTCACTTTCCTTCTCTGCAGTTTTTAATTCATTTCCCCGCAACAAGTTTTATGGCCATCCGACCAGGACATGTTTTCTCATGGCTTCCCTTTATCACGCAGCTACTCATAGACTGCAGATGGATCCTGTTACACCCAGGAACCTGTCACAGTTGACTGCCACTCTGGGAAATATGGCTGCACCATATTAATA